AGAATGTCTGTAATTTGGATTCACCGATTTCCCAGTTCGCGAAAGTAATGCAGGCTTTTCGTGTGTATTAGGTACTGTCGATATATCCTGTACGGACTTCTGTATGATCCTATTCTGATCTCTCAGAAGGTTCTCGCGCTGTCTCCTTAACTCTTCTTGTTCTAGTTGCAGTAACTCTCGTTCAAAACGTAGGACCTCCTATTTTTGGGTAATTTTACGTGTTAATGATTTTTGTTGTCGTATTCTGTTAGTATAGAATTTGGAAACGTTATACACAAGTAAGTAGTTAGTGCAAGGCTTAAGCTAGCGTGTTATGGGACGATAAGAAGATAACTTTAGTTTATTTATTTTGTATGTCATTGTGAATATTTTAACATTTCATATTTACATGAAGTGAAAACGTTGAAAATAATTTATTATCACATTTTTCAAACGAATCATTAAAGTTACTATATTTTTACTTATTATTCGTCATGTATTTAATAAATCGTTTGGGAAATGTGTCAAACTTTAATATGAATCAGTCACCTTGGTATGAGCATCGTCAATGTGCCCGTCAGGCCAATCCTCGTTAGTGCGACACGCCTGCAAAGTTACACGGGCGGCCATCTTGGATATTGTTATTAATACACAAAATGGCGGGTGATGTTAACATTGATATGAAGTTTATATATTTTCCAATTTATGATCATTATGAATAATAAATAAATGCAATGTGCTGAAATGTGTATGTAACAAGTCATTGGTAATAAGTTATTGGAAATTATGTAAACTTTCATCAAATTGAAAAGGATTTTAATGAATAATAAATGTGTTTGCAAGATATTGTATGAATTAATGAAACCAATACTTAATTGTTTAGATTGGAAGATGTAAATTAAACAAAAATATAGCAAGTGCAATTCATGCGTATATGTAACGAAATATGAAGAAATAAAAGTCGAAAACTTTTGAAACATTAATCATATTTATTTTTGAAAGACAATTTAACCATACAAAATAATAATCAAACTATAGTTTTTACTGACGACAATATTGTCGTGATATCTATTATGAACTTAAAATATAGAATAAATATAGTTTTATTTATCATAAAGATTTAGGTAAATTACAAATTATACATAAAAGCATTAGCAAGCAGGTTTTATGTTAACAAGGCAGGCATTATATATAATAATATGTTCCAAACATGACTCATCTAATATTGTTGTTCATCTTTATCAAATGGGTAATGTTAAGAACTGAGAAATATAATTAGATACAAAATTCTTGCAATACATACATTATTTTACTAATGTGCTTTCAAAGCATTTACAGTGCAATAACATACCTTTAACCATAACCAGAAGGTATATTTTTCATAAGAATTAAATATCATAAATCTAACATAAATTAATATCATACACCATAGCCAATTGCATTCGAGATAACAAAGTAGCATCCGATATTTTATAAAGATATAACTAGCCTACGAGATCTACTATTACAATATAAATATATTCTAACCAAAAATAAAGTAATTCAAACAATATTTATCCAAGAAAGCATTAAATATATAAATATCTAATGAAAAGAAATAAACTAATTATTGATCATAATGAATATCTAAAGTGCGGAATTAAATTGAATCCTTGCAAAACCAAAAACTAAATAATTGTGGCCCTAAATAACATCCTTGAAATACTCATCACATCTTCTACTATATAGAATAGTCTACAGTACTTTCTTGTTATTATGATGTTACCTGTTGCTGTTGTAGTTTTTTGTCCAATGAATCTATTTTGTTTTCATCTGATTGCGAGGCATCTGTCAATTCCGTCAACTTGGTGTTAAGTTTATTTGAAAAGTTCTTTTCGTTTTGTCTTTTTGTTGCTTCTTCTTCGTCGGATGTTACGGTCACATGTGTATATGGCTGAAATCATAAAAAAAAGAATGAGTTCGGTAACTTTTTCATTTTTTTATCAAGAAAAACTCTTACAAAGTATACTCCTACTGTAGTGCACTGCACACCAATTTAATTATTATGTTTTAACTTATACTATTTATGTAGAAATGGTATTGAGAAATTATGATTGGGAAAATCTTGGTTTAAATGTCGACGGCTGCATTCTGACACACTTGGGATTTGCAGATGATTATTGTTGTATTCTTAATACAAAATGCTTCAAAAATCCAATTGGTCCCTGGCACCCTGAGATGGGATATGAACCCACAACCTTTCGCAATACAGGCGACTGCTCTACTCGCTGAGCTACCCAGGACCTAACAGGACTGACGAATCTTTCAAGCACTTGTTACTTTTCGGGACCAAGTGGATTTTTGAAGCATTTTGTATTAAGAATATTTTTCAGTATAGCATTGTGAATGCGAAATTAATCAAATATTATTGTATTATTCGCAAAATCGTCAAGAGACCTGACCAGAATGTTAAACTAACTAGCATTTGAGAGTAAGAAAGTAGGATTCAAATTAAACCCAGAAAAAACAAGAGTAATGACCAATAGATATAAAAGCAACATAACTGTAGGAGGGTCACAAATAAGTTATGTGGAAGATGATATAGTTATACCTTGGACAGCTGATATCACCTAAAGATAACATAAGTAAAGAAATCCAAAGAATTGCAAACAGCTGGAAAATATATTGGGGTCTAAATATAAGTAATGAAGGACAGAAATATATACAACGATAAAAAGTAAATTATTTAATGTCTGCATCTTACTAATTCTAACACAAGGAAGCCAAACTTGGCGTCTGCTAGCAGACAATGGAGAGAGAAGCATGTTGCAGTAGACAATGGAGAGGAGAATAGAAGCGTGTTGTTGGGGTAAAGAAAGGGAATAGAATAACAAACGTCAAAATTAGGAAAAAGATCAAAACACAAGTTGTAACTCTAAAATTAAAAAGGCAGAAATAAAATGGTTGAGACACATGATCAAGGAAAAGGACAAATGGAGTAAAATGATTACACAATGGTTTCTAGGAAAAGGCAAAAGAAAAAGAGGTAGACAACAGAAAAGATGGGACGATGATATTAGGCAGGTTGCCGGCATAACATGGAGTAGAATCGCTAGAGAGAGATCGGAATGGAGTAGGTTAGAGGGGGCCTTTGCCAACTGGCAAGCGGATTTACAGAAAGTAAAGAAACAACACATGCGAGAATAAAATTAAATACATGTAAAAAAATTAATTGTAATTGTAAATGTAATGTTCGAATAAAAGGCTTTATTAGTATTATCCAATACTATAGCGAAAAGATATTGTGATTTAATAAAAAAGAGGACGTTCTTGGAACCTCACAAATAATACCTGCTTGTCGCGTAAGTGTTTTTGTCTGATTGAATAATTAATGAGCCAATAGATAAATGTAATATCTATTGGCTATGATAAAAAAAAACCCACCTCGCTGTTTTGTCTGCTGTGTGGATTAGAAGTCTCAGGTGACGACTGCCCTTTATACCAAGCCTCGGACGATGGACCTCTATCGACATCGACTCCCGAGTCCCTGCTGTCCCTCAACTTAGCATCCATATCATGAGACAACGTTTTCTTGTAAAGTAGCTTTTCAATCTTAGTCTCTTCTTGTAGAAACGATGTAATGTCCGGTCTAGGAGCAAGTTTGAGGTCCACGTCTAGATAACTGTCATCCTGACCTTCGATACCCAGAAAACTTGTTCGTTTATTTCGGATTTCTTTTTTGATGCGGCGCGCTGAACTGGTGTGTTTAAAGTTGCCCTATTAAAACAATATTTTATCTGTTAGCATGACTGGAATTACTCGTACTATTCTATGAAATTTAATTTGAATTCCTACTTGTACTTAGATAAAAACAGTTCATATAGTGATAAACAAATCGTCTTGTCTATGTGAAATCTAACGACCTTTGCTTCGTCATTATCATCATCATTTCAGCCAAGAGACGCCCACTGCTGGGCATAGGCCTTCCCAAAGTAATTAATTTATACTTATTAATGACTGAGCAAAAGATATATACTAATAAATTAAATAGGATAAATTTCTCTAAAGTTGTCTTTAATCTTAGTAACTAAATCTTTAAGAGACAAAAATATGATGTATCCTAATTGATATAACACTATATTGGATGGGTTATCTATAAGAAAATAAGGACAGTTATTAACTAGACCACAAACGAAACAGTTAGATACAACGAAAGTAAAAAATTCAATGACTAATGCTGAAAATATTATTTTATGGTACTATAATAGAAGTAGCATTTATTTTCATTATTAAGGTTCTATCTATTACGACACCGAGGCTGATTATTTCGAATAAGGTTTTAACTTACATTCCCCAGATCATCATCAGCACTGTCTTCCATTGGTGGTGGTGGAGGTTTCTCTTTAGGTGGTTCCATTACGTTACTTGGCAAATCAAGAGGGAAAGCTCCCGTGTCATCATTGTTTTTATAAAAAATGTCTATATTCTCGTAGAGAGGTGCCACAGATATTTTACTGGTAGTGTCGAAATCTATTAACGGTTCGTTATTCTGTACACTCTCCGCTATGGTTCCGTTTTCTTTAGTTTTAGAGTCATCCATAGTACTGTCACCAAAGCTCTCTTCAGAGTCTAATTCTTGGAAGGCTAATTCGAGAGCGTCAATTACCTGAAAATGCATTTTTGAAATTTATAAAACAATTAACATAATTATATCGTATCAAATGCTAAAAAAGAGAGAAATAAAAAACACCAAATAAAGAGTAATCGAAAATAATTAGTATCGTGCAAAAGAAATCAAGCCAAACCCTAGGTTTTAGCACTTTATGTGGCGCAAATGAATGTTAGATGAAGCAGAACTACATCGCAAAATCATACCGTCTTACCTTGAGTTAACCCACCACCAAAGCTGATGTAACAATACCTAGCATTAACATGACAATAATGATATTACATAGTGTTTTCAAATATTTATAGAAGTGTAGACCTCCTTTAGCCAGTTCTATACGCGACTGGCTTAGTGTCCACAAGATAATATTATATTTGGACAAGATAATTTCAGAGATAACATTATCTTAAGTATTTCGCTCAGATTTTCCTACGTAATTTACAGCCTATCATAATGATTAATTAAAAAATGTACATAAACTAAAATATAATAACTTTAATACCTATAGGAATGTGATACTTGATTACTTATAATACTATAAATAAAATAAAACCCACACATAACGGTGTAACATATATTTTTGATATAAATGAATTTACAAATATCACGTTTTAGATAAATATATTAACGAATGAATCCTAAAGAATATCAAATGAACTACATCTATAATATAAAAAATGACCTATAGTGTATATAAATAGGATATATTATACATGTGATGAGCACTACAATTCATAACCCTGTTTATTTAAGTATAAATTACAATTAAAATAGTGTAGGCAATGAAACTATGTTTGCTAAGTGCTAGGATCCAAATGGTTATTTAACATTTTAGCACATTAAAATTTATAAGTGATGACTCCTATCAACTATACGATGTTATTAAATGGACATCACATAACGATTAATTATTTATTAATTTCTATGATATACAGGGATCGAGTGTGATGCAAATGATAAGGGATTTAGTGGAAGACCAAAAATTCTTGTGAGTGAGATCAATAGATCATAAAAATTCTAAAAATTAAGTCTTCATCTAGATTTTCTCATCTGTCTTGCTTTGGATTGGCAATTTATGAGAAAGTGATTAGACTAGTCATTAGATACATTAATCTAGGCCTTCGTTTCACAGATTGTTGGTGACAACGGTGCTGGTATTAGTTACTGTTTTTGTTGTTACTTTGTTATTAATAAACAAGATGGTTTTTCGTCTGTTGGGTTCAATGTTTCGTTTAGTTCTTTTTTGCCAAAAAGGGTTAGAATCTTGGGAGGTACTTACCACTACCTCTCCTGTTTCGGCAGCTGCAATGTTACGGTTTAGATTGGTGATCTCGTTGCTTTGTTTATTAGACACAGTCGTACAGTTGGTAGTAGTGATTTGATCACACGAATCAGATTTATTTATCGCTTGTATACTGTTACTTGTATATTCAGATGTACATGTTGTATTAGCGAGTTTGTTAGGAAGCGAGCTATGACTATCATTAAATGTTTTTAGGGTTTTAATGGAATTTTTTGGTGAAATGTTAGTAGTAGTTATAATATTAGAAACAGTTACCATAGGCATGCTCTTGTTGTTAGTATCATTAAAAGAACTAAGATTGCTACAATTAGTTGTGTTCCCAGCACCAGCATTCATATTGTTGCAAATTTCATTCAAGTTTAAATGTATGGTCATCTTTCCCTGAAACACCACCGTGTCTCCTTCAGATGTTGAAGATTCATTCAAACTTACACTAGTGTCTTGATTATCCAAACTCTTAAGAGTATCTTCATCATCTTTGTCCATTTGTATTTCCGTCACTTCCTCTGTCACACTCAGTTCTTCTGGTTGTGACACTGCTTGAAGATAGTTACTTGCACTATCGGTATCTTCCGCCTTACTATCTTGCTCTTCTACTTCTTCTATAATAATATCCTGTAAAACTCTTTGCACCGATTCATCGTTTTTTTCTGTGTATTCTTCAACTTTAGTCGGTTCTATAGTCATGATATTGTCTTCATTAGATGACTCATATTCTGAAACTTCAACCATAGGTTCTCCTAAAGGAGAAGCTACTTGAGTTAAATCAGCAATGTCATCAGGCGGGACGCAAGAGTCTCTTGCAGTATGAATACCACTATCTTCAGTTTCAATATCACTTGGGATGGTGTTATTTTGCATCTCGGCACAATCAAAATCTTCCAAGCTTTGAACTCTTTCAAAAGAATTTGGTGAAGACTGTCCATTAATATCTAAACTGTCAAGAGAACGACAGAAACTCTGCATTTGACTTTCTATCCCAGATAAACTTGACTTCAACGAACTATCCATCAATTTATCATTAGAATCATTGTCTATATTGGTTTCCACCTTTTCATGAATAACAAGCGTCTCGTCGATGGATATTTTTGGAATCTCTTTGTTTCGTGCCGCATCTAAGCAAGATAGTCTTTCTTTGAGGCTCATAGAAACTTCCTTTACCTCTTTTTTTGAAACTTTTACTTCTTCTTCAGATGTTTGTGACTTAAGGCTGGATAATCGTTCTTTCAATGATTTAGTGTTACCTAAATCGCCGTTGGATAGTCTTTTTGCTCTATCTGTCTCTACTGAAGCTGATTTTACTTTTTCAAGGGATGACAGTCTTTCCTTTAGTGGTCTTACTTCTGAAGGTAACTTAGTCAGGTCATTATTAGATTTTTGAACAATCGTTTCTTCTGTGAATTTCTCTAAACTAGATAACCTTTCTTTTATTGATTTTTTGTTAGCAATATCAGGTAATTTTGGTTTACTAATTTGTGACCCTTGCGAATTTTCCCTTTCAAATTGTTCCCTTCGTTTGTGGATATCGACTTTTGGCAAGTCTTTCTTCTGATTGTTGTTCTTAGTATCATTATTTCTTTCATGTTCGAAAGAAGAAAATTTCTGTTCAATTCTGTTACTAACTGAACTACGGATTCTTTGTAGGTCACCATTATGTTTGTCTGGAGATTTTTCTTTGAAGTTGTTATTGACGACAGTTTTGACGATGCTGCTATTAGTTTGTGATATAATACGAGACTTATACCCTTCGATGGCACCCTCATAAGTGTATTCCTCTGGTTCGGGTGAGCTTATTGTTGTTGTAGTGCAAGTGTCGTATTCGTTGGCGCTAGAACCGAGCTTGCGGTTGTTGTCGCAATTGGACAGATTGTCGACGTCTGAATGATTCTTATCCAGGTCGATACCGTCGCTCTGAAAATCAATTTAATACAAATCAGTAATGAACCGGTTTACTTAATTAGACGTAGAAGCGCTACACTAAACTCGTCAAAGTTGGTATTTATAATAATTTTAAATTTTTTGAAATGTTAGTTCATTTTGTTGGCAACTTTCGAATTTGTGAGGATTGAAGTATGCAATTCGTTAGGTATTTTATCCACTTATTATTTAAAATATGTAGTTTTTAGGCACTTTTGTAGGAACGAATTTAAGAAAATAAATAAATTCAAGCAGTGAATGTAAACCACAGTTAGGTATTTCTAAAGAGCAACTCTGTGTATAGTTCCTAACATGCCAATCCAATCGACCTATCGATCAATACCAATCCCCCTCCTCTAACTTTTAAAATTAAAAGTGGAATACGTAAAAATATGCTGTAGCTGTAGCTCCCAGTTAACATTTTCAACGAAAACTAGTTTGAACGTATTAAAGCCTCTTTCGGAAGTATAGCATATTAACAAAAATGCAAATATTACTTATTATTCATATAACCTCTATGTTAACACAACAAAAAAATATTTTGGATAGGATTTAATACCTTGGAGGTATTAAAATTTAATATTTCTACGGAACCCTCGGTGCGCTAGTATGGCTCGCATTTGACTAAATATAATCTTAACTTCACATTAAACTAACTTTATTTGAAAGTTCACATTAAAAGTATATCTTAACCGATTGTAGGTTAGAAAATGTATACATTTTGTCTTTTTCTTATTAATATATAAAAAATCAGATGAGTAAAAAATAAAATTTAACGTTCATTAAAACAACGCCACAAATAATAAGTGATTTTCAAAGATTTCTATTTAATTTATAGTGCGACGATCTCTAGTTCGGTACTCTGACGTCACAAGCGTGTAGGCGGCCACAGATGATTCGTGCGAAAACATGTAGTTTTAAATAATCTATAATTTGTACAATTTATTAACGGATTTTAATTCTGTTTTCTGATTTACTTAAGTTTTAATCTATATTTTTATTATATTGTGTTAAATATAGTAATATCAACATCATGAAACTTCTTTGTTTAGCTAACAGAATTGCTGCTAAATTATGTTAGCACATATTATACCAATTTTAGTTTTAATCCTGTCAATAAATTTCAACTGAGTATTATGACATTTTTAGTGCTTCGTACATTAAGAGCTAATTTAGTGGTTATTTAATGATGTTATGAATTGAATGATTCCAACACTGGAATTTTAATTTTGTGGCAACACCAAGTGTTACTGTTGGTACATTATTAAATAAAACAGGTACTTACGGCCAAACTGTGGGTGTCGCAGTCTTCGCTCAAGCTACTCTTAGTACTGGAGGTGCCAATACCGAGGTCACTTAGGTCATGGCCGTCATCATCAGCGTATAAGGCGAGGGGGTTCCGCCTTCTGCGGCCAGCTCTGAAGACAAAATAAAAGTACGTCATTAGCATGGAAATAGCTAAGAATGAAGATATGGACATTAATGATGTGGACTACAAGATTCCTGGTTTGAATATTTTTTAAAGTTATTATTACAAGTCAGTCAATAATAAAAAAGAATAGATTTTTGTGCACTGAGTAAGTTTGCGTTAAGAATTTGACATCTTTAAATGATTAATTACGGACGATTAGCAGTTCATAGTAATACTTTTCTCGTCTTAGTTTTGTACTTCTCGCCGCCATTACCAAAAATCTGTTAAGAAGTCTTAGTTTTAGTTGTTCTATTAGTACTTCTAATTTAAATTTTTGATCATCCATCCGATGATACCTGTACGGTAGTAGCTTAACCTACGGAATTTCACATACAACATGCTAACCTTCCCCTCATCGAGATAACGATCAATCGTGCCTACTTATATTATAAATATGAAAGTTTGTCAGGATGGACATATGACATATGATATGACAATGGTATACAAATAATATTACGACACGGACGGAGTCGCCGGAGAAAAGATAGTCAAAATATAAATTAGTTTCGTTTACATGGACTGTATTATAACATACTGCGATTATTCTTAGAGTTGGTTAAATCATCGTGGCGTCTCCGCCTATGTTTGTTTCTGTTAGTCAGTGATGCGTCACTCGGAATATTTGTCTAACTCTACACAGAATATTAACTAGTCATACGGACGCGGCCTATATTTCGTATTATCATCATCATCAGCCCTTTTACGTCCCCACTGCAGGGACTCAGTCATTCCTTATGGATGGTTAAGGAGGAGGATGGGCCATGACCCTCCACGCTGGCCCAATGCGGATTGGAGGGTATTAACGACTGCAAATGCAGCCGGGACCAACGGCTTAACGTGCCTTCCGAAGCACTGAGTAGCTCGAGATAATAATTTTTTTGGTCACCCATCCCGTGACCGACCCTTGCGAAAGTTGCTTAACGACATATATTTCATATAGTTAATAAGTATTGGTACAGATTACAAAGTATACTATGTCATGTCACTGTTACCATACCATAGTCGTTACTCTCTATAAATTGAAAAAAAATGCTAGCCAGTAAAGACTAATGTAACACTAAATGAGTTCTAGGACGTATGTATTATTCGATATCAAATTTTATTCTTAAAATGAGTGCTCATATATAATAATGAGTGCTAATATCCTATTCCCATTTAACCTTTTCCAGGTTTACTGTGTACAATTTCATAATAGTTTAATAAACTTCAATCGTAATATATTTACGTAATAAAAAACGTTATTAGAAGCAAAATTGTTCATAGGCAGAGTCATGGAAGAATTGCGTGCAATACATTCGTAATACGACAGCAAAAATAAGAGCAAGGCCACTTCAGTTTCTATTAAGAATATGTAAGGGGGTGTGTGCACTGATGATTGTTTGTCACCGTGACTACGTTCCTGTCACCGTACTCTCGACGTTACTATGAAAGTCATTGCCACTCGTTCAATTTCATGCTCCACGAGCATTTATAAAACATGGTGTCAGGAAAACAAAATGTCACGGTGAAATAAGTAACATGAGCGCTCAAAGTCTAAAACTATCTATACCACAATCTTCTAAATAAGATTAACACTTTGATATCTAATAGTTTTATTAAATAATCATTAATTCCAAGATATGATAATATTAGTGGTCGCTACAACTTCAAAATAATAGGAGATAATAAAAAGCCTATAGCATGATTTAATCAAACCCATGATAAGATTACAATTCACATTAGTACTGTATTATTCTAATTCCAAAGTCAGTAGGCAAAGCTACTGTGTTATTAAAGATAGCCGGTGACGAAAAATGAATCCGACGACACATCCGTAATATTATTTGAGTCGACAGAACTGAGGAACAACGAGAAATAAGAAGGCAAGTTTGCATACAATAATAAACACCCAAATGGTATATTAGAAGAGCAAAAACAATGAACAGTGACAGCGCTCTGTCGTTCACGCATCAAATTTATTATACATTCTTACATCGACTCAACGCTCCACGATTCGTAAAGTGCTTCGCTCCATAACGTATTAACATAGTACAGCAATTCATCCACTAATTTACGGTCTATCGAGATGAAACTATCTCGATTACTATCTATTACTAGTATAATAGACAGCGATGACAGTTCCGTTTGTGTAGCGATTATAGAAAATATTTATTATGTGCGACACGTGTGTATGATACGAAAGCAACCGAACTTTTAAAAAAGATATATTGTATTTCTTATGTTAGCATTGACCATCTGACGATTTCAATAAAAAAATAAATATATTATCGATGATGTGGTCTGGTGATGTCAGAATAAAATAGAATTGTCACCACCCCTACTCTTCCCTAGGTGTCATAAGCGCTCTCGGTTATATTTTTTTTAATACTGTTTCTGCTACCCGCCTGCTAAGCGTGGAGATTATTGTAAAACTCTTCACTTGACTGTACGGGCTATTATTATCAAGATAGTAAACAAAATAACAAAAAAACACAATTACGAAATATTATTATAAAAAGTTGACGAGGTACAAAAAACACAGTATCTTTTTAATGCGGTTTCACTTCGACATAGACTGACGAATACATGAATACCACAGAACGGGTTGTCAAGGTGAATGTCGGATTACAAAATTAGCACCCAATGAATAATATTATTGATGATGATATAAGTGTCCAAAAAAGTGAAAACTAGACGGAACGCATACGCGTTGTCGTACGCGTCACTTTCTACGTAACACTTTTGACGATTTGAATAGAAAGCAGTTTCAAAAGTGCCATACTGATTTACGACAAGCTAATAATCGGTTTGGGTGGAAAAGGTGATGTCGATGGGTGTGTAATCGTCCATAATGACGCTAGGAAAAGCAATGAAAGATTGGATGGTGATTTCGTGAGAGCCAGATTAATCCAAAAGTCAATTAAACAAAATTCTAGGAATTTATTTCCAAGACAAACAGCAATACAAAATAATATAGATTTAAAACCTTTATATATCCAATTAAATCGAAAAGAAGTATTATTATTTCACAGTAAACTTTCAAAAAAACCTCTAAAACAATTCCAACTACGTCCGAATCATTAACCTTGATAAGACATCGTTTTACCTTAAAGCGTTCCAAAGATGAGCTGAAATGATAAAATTGCACACGAACAGTAGCCAATCGAGGAAAGCTACAAAACTTGACTGAGAATCTGACGAATGTGTGCAATTTACGAATAGCATCCTTCTTGAGGCTCGTGCCTGTGTATCACGAACTAATTTACCCCAGGCCGTGGGGTAAAAAATGCCTTAATGTTCGCAAATGTACGAGAGATATGCGGGGAATTGCCCCTCGGCTATAAGAGGTCTTGTTACGTAAGCACGGTGGAAATCTAACCAATTGAGCATTTTGCAATAATTGTGCATTAAGAAATTGTTGCAAATCAAGTTTGTGATTGAATAAGGAATAAAGTTAATTTTGTTAGCAGAAAATATTTGTTCAGTACCAATACCGATGAACTATTTACGTGCTGCTCCATAGCTATGACTTTATGACCTTCCGGAATAATTTGTGTTGCTTATTTAATTATGTGTTCAATTCAAATGTCAATGAGCATTCAATTCATTTGGTATTCTTAAAGATTGTGTCACTTATACTAAATATATTATATCTTAATTCGAAGTTAAAGATTCTATAAATATTGTCTCCTGTTTAAAAGCGCTTCTTAGCTCTGCCAGGCAAGATAATTAAAGTCCGCTTCTGTTCCTAAAAGCAGGAGATTTTCATAATAGCAGATAGAACAGGTCATTATAACTGATGATTGTGCTCGCAAACTGTGTTGATGCGTTCAGAATTGGCCGTGTCACTGGTATTAGTGTGTACATGCATTACGGTCATTGGGTCGGAGTGTGCTGGCCAACATTCCCACCATCGGGGGCGGTTATAAATATAAATGTAAATGCATCAGACAAATATTCGTCTGCAACTAATTTGTTTTCGGTATGATCACATGAAGAAATACTAGTTGTCCACATAGCTGTATGCACACTTTTATTATGTTGAAGAATCAGGTTGGACGAAATAACATCGGATTTGTGCTTTTCAATGCGTTTATGGACTTAATAAGCACATAGATATTTAGACAAGAATAGTACCATTTACTGCGACTTAAATAACTATGTTTTTATAATTATGTCTGTGTATTGTATTTTTATATCTACAATATTTTTTTAACAGTAGAGTTTGAAGCTTTGAAAAATAAAGTAGACCTTAAACAAAACTCTTATTATGCAATCGACAGTTTATATATACCACAAACATTAATTTATATACAACACCACAATACTTTCATCGCGTTGTCCGCTAGCACGTGTTGTACTCTGTACGTAAACACGTGATCATGTTGCGCACGACCACACTACGATCGGAGTGGTTCGTGGATTTTTGCACGAAAATCCAATCGAGCGCATTCCACATTTTCGCCGTGCGTGCGGTTAAGTAATAAGACAAGGGCGGAATATGAACGAGAAAATAATGTTGACTAATCGAATTCTTTAAGGCAATATACAGACCTATGTATCGTACAATAAGTGCCTGTTTTGCTTACGTGCTTTTATAATTACGCAATTTTTATCCAAGACGTAGACTGTGCGTTTTAGGTAGGCAATACAAACGTGCCTGTCACTTACCTTAGCACGTTATACCTACAAGTTGTTTAATAATACAGTGCTGGCTTATTAAACAGAGACAGAATATGTGATTAAAAAGGCACACGACACAATAACGGAGAGTTCTCTAGGCGACCTAGGCACTAGCCTATGCTACAAAGAAATTAACGAAAAAAGTATGTACAAATGTTTGCTATCATCATTTATTGTAAAAATGATTGAATAAAAAAAGCTTGTGTTCTGTTGCGTTTGCAATTTCTCTTCTTTTCTTATTAAACATCTGTATTATTAGTACTTATAATTTATAAAATTTTATCC